ATCTGTTAGCTCCCTTTTATCTGGAGACCCCTGATGCATGCGATATTGCCCTTTAGATGCCTCTTCCGTGTTTTGTTTTACAATTGTTGTATCAATAGAATGCGGCCTTTCTTCCCCTGTCTCTATAGATACAGATACACAAGGAAAGCCAAAGCTATTCAGTCTCATTTGTCCAGCCGCCTAACAGTGGTGCCCTTTCTCTGCTGCTGCGCTCCCTGCTTCGGGAGCAGCAGTTATGGTAGAAGCAGATGGCTACTGATTGGGGGAGCTTTGTGGCTCTAATACTGAATACTTTATGGAAAAGGGCTTATCATGCTTCGTTGAGCAGAGGAACAGGAGGATGAGATTTATGGTCAGGAAAAAGAAACCTTTTCCAAGTTGTGGCTCCTTTTCACCAGTTGTTTCCTTTGCCCAGAGGTGGTGGAAAAAACAGAGGGACTTGTTTTATTTTATTCCCCTTTCTGCTAACAGCACTTTTTAGTCAGGGTCTGAGAGGAGAGGAGACTTAAGAGCCAGAAGTTTATGAAATACCTTAGATTGTGGTTGCTGTATCCGCATCCTCTGCCCTCAGGAAGAAAGCTGGAGGGTAAGGTCTTGAATGCTGCCTGGGGCCACATTTCCCTGGATGTCCTGTTAGTTGCTAGGTAAAAACATCATCCTCCATTATCCATAGAGAACAACAACAACAACAAGGTGTGAGTGTTCCTGTTGGAAGTGTAAGAAGAGGACACTGGTGCTGAAGGATTGGGACAGTGAAGAGGCATATGGTGATGTAGGTGTGCTCCCCCTCTCTGAAAGAACCTGAGCTGTAGTAAGGATGATTAAGAGATATCTGTGGGGGGCGGCCAGCTAGCTCAGTGGGTTAGAGCGTAGAGCTCATAACACCAAGGTTGTCAGTTGGATTCTCACATGGGCCATTGAGCTGCGCCCTCCACAACTAGATTGAAACAACTACTTGACTTGGAGCTGATGGGTCCTGGAAAAACACATTGTTCCCCAAATTTTTTTTTTTAAAAAGCAACAAACGAGAGAGAGATGTCTGTGAATGGTAAGCATTTGGACTCCAAATTGAATTTTCAAGCTTTGAGGAATAGACAGACTCCAACCTTACAATGAAGGCCTAACTTACTCCAAGAGAATTCACCCCTATATCTTTTCTCTTTTTCCCCTCGCCTGAGTTTTACTTTCTTTGAAGCAGGTATGCTTTTGCGTCTGCTGCAGGGATGTATCTCTTCTCCAAACACAAGAGGATGCATCTCATTGTTTCTCCTGGCCCCAAAACCTGTTCCCCTAGAGCAGTGCGGCCTCCCTCCCCCCTTCCATCCCCTCTCTGAGATCTTCCCCTCCCAAGGGCCATGACAGAAAGTCACACAGAAGTGTTCCCAACAAGCCTACTGGCAGCCAGGCACACAGAGATGGAAACCAACCCCAATGCTGGGTCTCCCATTCCACTTCAGACACTCTTTGTTTCTTTAATACTTGAAATGCCATTTTCAACTGAAAAACTATTTGTTGAGCACCTTCCATATTCTAAGCTCCTTTTCACTGCCTTCCTCTTCTTTTATCTTGTCCCTAGAAACTGAAGAGGAAAGGCCAGGAGAGGCATGGAGCTTCCAGAAGTGTCACCTAACTTCCTGCCACAAGCTACCTCTTCCCAATTCTACACGTGCTACCACCCCACATACCGACATGCACCTTTGTACTTTGTTTCTCTCTGAAGAGGAGAAAAAGTGGAGCAGGAGAGGTAAGATTTAAAAATTATATTTACCCAGCATATCAAAGTGGAAGGCATTGAGATGCTTTAAACAGTCAACTATTTGGGCTCTTACTATGTGCTAGACTGAATGCACTGCCATGCTTATTGCGTTTTATTCTTACGGCCCTTTGAGTTCAGTGTTATTATCCCTAGTTCACAGATACCGGTCCTTCACAGGAAGCAGAAGTACAGAGAGGCCACCAAACTCGAGCAAGCCGTCCAGCTGGCGTCTGAACCCAGGCTTGCCCTTGCAATAGTCATAACATCCCTAGGAGAGAAACACTGTTGTTGGTATTTTACAAATGAATATCAAGCTGAAAATCCAGAGGTTAGGTCATTTGCTCGAAGACACACAGCTGGTAGATTGAAGACCTGGGGTTCAAACATAAGTGGTTAGGATCCCAAATTTCAAGCTCTCTAGGATTTTTTAGAAGAAAGATCAGTGAGAACCCACAAATGACCTCTGTCACGGGTCCCTAGCCTGGGCGGGAGGCTTCGCAGAGCGTGAGACTGCAGGCGTGGGGCGAACTTCAGGCTGCGCTGCGCCAAAGCGCCGTGTTGCTGGGTTGAGGAGGTTCCGCCTATCAGCCCGGGCCCGCCAGGGAGTGCGCTTGCCCCCCCGCTCCCCGCCTCCGGCCGACGGTACTGCGCGCGCAGCCCGCGATCGGGCCTCGGGGCGGGGCCTGGAGGCTGCCGGCGTGGAGCCCGCCTGCTCGCTCGCTCGAAGCCGGGATACCGGCCGCGTGGCTGCGGCCTCCGGCAGCGGGGGCTGGTCCCACCGCGCTCCCCAGACTTGAGGGGGAGGAGGGCGGGGGAGAGCGGGAGCTGCGCACCCTGCCGCAGAGCCCGCCCATTCTGAGCCGCGGCCCCTCGAGGAAGAGGACGCGCCGCGCCGCCTGGAGGCCCTGAGCCCCGGCCCGGGCGGACGCCTGGCTCCCCAGGCTTCGCTGCCCACCCAGCCCGCGGCACTGGGGTGAATCAGCGATGCGCGCACACGCTTTTCACCCCACCCCCACCCCCACCCCGGGTTGCGATGCTTCCGCGCTTGCCGACCTGGCCCAGCCCGCATTTCTAACGTGGCGCCGCTACCAGGCCAGGAGGAAGAGCTCCGGGATGGGCATGGGGGTGGGGCGGGTAGGAGCCCAGCGTACCAGCCTCCGGGCAGAACACGGCCCGCTTCTCCATCAACAGGGAAGAAGGAAGGAGGGACTGCGGCCTGCGGTTGGAGCGCTCGGGCTCTCCCTTCCGCGGTAGAGGGGACGCCTGAACACCTGAACAGATGCCTCCTGCCTGCTTAACCTCCAGTACCTCCTAACGATCTCCCTAGAAACGGGGAGAAATCCTCCGCTTTCACTGAGTGGCTTTGAAAGCGGGTGCACAATAAAACAATGCCCAAATTTTCTAATGAGGAAACCAAGACAGTGTAGTAACAACAGCCAGCACTGCAATGGGTGTTTGCTATGCGCCAAGCGTTGTGCCCTGCGCTTGCTCAATACCAGCTCGGCCCTCACGATAGCTTTATGAAGCGGCTGTCCGCTGCTACCCGGGGTGCACAGATGAGGGCCCGCAGCACAGCCGGGTTACATTACCTGCCCATCGACAGGAACTGGCATGCAAACCCAGGCAGCCTCGCTCCCCTGGTGGAGTTGGGGCCTGAACCTGAGTTATGGGTCTTTCTTGGTCAGTTTTCCAGACTTCTAACCAAGGAGACTATTTCTTAATGAAGGCATTTAAGACCTCTCTGGGGTGTCCAAGGCTGAAATGAAACTCACCCCAGCTCTTGGAAGGGATCCCTTACCATCTGGCTCAGCAACTGGCTCTCCAAAGTGCACTCGCCCTCTCCCTCACTGAGTCCTCACCGCGACCCGGGAGGCGACGCTTGCCAGCCTCGGTTTGCCTGAGGAGGGAAACCAAGGCTGGGAGAGATCACTGTCAGCTCAGTTGTAAGGAATGGGAAAACAGACCCCTAACCCAGGAATGGTGGTCAGAGGACCTGCCAGGGAAGGACGTGCGCAAGGGACGGGGAAGGTGGTCGTGGTAAAAAGGAGCATCGCTGTTCCTGAAAGCCCGGTCCTCAGGACGGCTTTCCTCGCGGAAAGTGGTCGCCTAGCAGGAGGCAAGTGTTGGCACTGATTCCAGGGAGGCGGTAGGAGGCTGGAGAACGCGGCAAACGTGGCGGGCCCTTAACTGCTCTTAGTCCCTGCTTGGTCCTCCGTGTGTCTTGGGGCGCACCGAGCGCGTGCGTGGTCTCTTCCTCCCCCAAACTCACGATTTGCGCAGGAAAGAGCAACCCCCCGCTGAAGGTGGCTTGTCTGCTTCTGCCCAGTACCTACCCGTGTCAGGACTCTACACCCTTGGTGAATCATCCCAAACGTATTGGGAGCGGTGTCTGCAATGCTCTTGGGGCAGTGCCCTCCGTGAGCTCTCCCAGAGAGACGTCGTTAGCCTTCACTGAAGCCCGCTTCTGTCGTTTGGCCTTCTGTGCACACTTAGCTCTGTTCCTGTGCCCTTTACTGAGACATGAGCACCACAGAATAATCCAGGCAGGAATTACCTGGGTCTAGCAGGCACTCTGTGCCTTTCCTTGCTGCCCAAACGTTTGGCCCAAACTCAGCTAAGAGTGGCGTAGGGGATAGAGCAGCTCATTCAGCACCCCCAGGTAAGAAATGTAACCCACTGCATTCTCAACTACTGACTTTCCCCAGGGTATTCTCACAAGTTCAGAGGAATCCCACATGTCTGGAAACATCTAACTTCCTAGGGCCTAACATAAAATGACTCTAGAATGTAGATAATGCTATGAGGCATCTGACCATATACACGAGGTACTAGATACAGAAATTATATGTAGAAAATAGGTAGTGTAGAACTCTGTTCAGTTTTGCTTTTACAGGACCAATTGCTCTCCTACATGACTTCATACAAACTATTTTCTCAAAACCATCTTACACAAAACATGCAAAAAGGAGCACTGACTACCTTATGGACATGCAACCAAGAAAAATCATAGTCTTGAAAGTTTTTTTTTAGTTGCTACTCTCAACAATATTCACCCACAACCTGCTTAAACACATACACACACACACACACACACACACACACACACGCACATGTCCATGTCTGATCAGGTATAAACTTGTTCAGACCGAAACTGAATTTTAGGCCTTCAGTAAATCTCAACATCCATTGTCTTTATATTCAATGTGTTTATTCATATTAGGAATTTCTGAATGACTTATTTGACAATTCTAGATATTATTTATTCTTAAAATATGGGTTCTCCTTAAAATGTTAAAGGAGATTATGAATATCTTGTTTACTTTTATATTACATTACCAGAAGACTACCAAATCAATCTGGTAATTGGCCTTTCAATCAGCAAATTCAAGAGAACAAATATGTTTCAATCCCCCTGCCTATTATTTCTGCTACTTTGAAATATATGTACAGTATTGTTTATAGTAGCCATGCTGTTACTATTGTTTGTGACAAGTTGGTCTTTGAATTCTTTAAGAGAGTACTTCCCCAAGTGGCGACTTAAAAGTGAAGACACATTGGTCATTTTTAAATGTTTATGAAAATCTGTTAAAACTATTGGCTTTCCATACATGTTTGGGGATACAGTCCCCCATCAACATTAGAGTAATACCCCCAGATTAAATCATGAAACACCTGCAATTCATTTTAATTGAAATGATAAAAGATGGTTTTCACTCAAACAGTTAATTTGCAATATGAGCAGGGGAGTAATTTGGTTCTGAGAGCATAGTTTGTGAAGAAATAAACTATATTTCTAAGGCTGTAACAAAGCAATGCGAATCATTATTGTTGTGGTTACTAACTGCTGTGTACTCCCCCAAATCTTTTTCTTTTCTTTTCTTTTTTGTTCTCCTTTTCCTTTGAGAAGATCAGATGCTGTACCTTTCCTCAGGCTTCCAGAAAGTATTTCATGGATAAACTCCAAGCTAGAACATCATGGGCATGTGTACGTTCTGTTTAGATGCCCCCCCCCACCTCCCAGGAGAGAATTGCTTTATGCAGCTTATCCCCCAGCAGCCCAATTTATAATCTAAGTCCACACTTGCAAGGGCTAGCTGGGATCAGGTGCCACTGTGTGTCAAGAAGCATCTCTCTTTTTACGTTAGGAATTGCGTACAGCCTAAAAGAGAGGATGAGGTGGGACTCAGGTACTGAGTGTTGGGATCATGCCCCTTTTCCTGGCTGTGCACAGAATTTGATGGAGAGTCCCTCACCTTGGTGACATTCCTAAGGCCTAGAATCAACCTTCTCAAAATCTGATTCTCCCTCTCATTTGAGGCTGCTGGACACCCTTTGGTCCCCAGTCGACCTGGAAAGCCTGGCTTGGAGGGTGAGGAGGCTCAGAGTGGTTGACTGCGGCCCTCCCTCCACTGCCTTCCTCCCACCCTCCATCTACAATTGAGGCTTGACTCTGGGAAAACTTTGTAACCTGTGGAGTTGCGTTGACGGAACATCAGGATATTCCTTGCCAGATCTCTAAATATTTATCTGGGGAAGTATATAAAACTGGGAGGTTCCAGGGGATCAGGATGCTGGGTATTGGATCTGGGTCACAGGTCACACCTGTGAGTATGAGGCATTGGTTTCAGATCTGTGGTAGTTGCCTTTAATATCACCTCAGTTGCTAATGCTGATGGAAGTCATACTCAGAAGCCATTAAGCCAGTTGACCACAACCCAGATCCAGGAGAGGAAATGAATGACACAAAGTTCTCAAAGATTATCCAGCTCACAGCTGAACTCCAACAGAATGGCAAGTGGAGTTTGAGATCCCTCAGAGAGAAGGTTTTAAACTTGAAAAAGGTAGGTTATAATCAGAATGACAGCAGTAGCAGCAGCAGCAGAAGAATTAAAAACAGCTACCATTCATTGAGAAAGGAAAAGCTGAAGAGAGAAAAATGTGCATCAGAAATAATGAATTCTGCAGTTGGTAGCCTGGAGTCCCTGCATACAGGCTCCAAAATGATCCATCCCTTCCTTAAGTCTCTGCCTCTCCCAGGACCAGGCTGGGAAACACTTATCACCTGACCCAAACTGAGATTGTCATGTATATTTATAAAAAACAAAGTGTCCCTTATCCCTGTAAACCTTTATCCAGCTCAGCGAGTCTGCCTCACCTTGCCTCTAAGTTATCCCTTAGAAACTTTCATATTCTCCATGGTGAGGCTATGAAGTTCCATGTTCTACCTCCGCCACCCCTCACAGCCCCTTCCCCTTCCAGAGACCTCCCTGTGGGATTAATAAGCTTAGGGAAAAGTCTCCACTATCTGCTTCCTTGGCAGCCTGTTGCCTTCATTGTCTTCAGGTGTGTCTTTCCTTTACCACGAATTGCCTTTTTTTTTTTTTTCTTGACAACTAAGCCTTTGTTGATGTAGTGCTTTGGAAACAGGATTAGACAGGGATGAACCAGGACCTAGAAAGGGAAAGAAAAAGAAAAAAATGTGTTTTCATTCTTATAGGGTAATGATCCTTTAAAGGGAGTTATTCTTACACACTTTACCTGCCTCCTGTCACAAAAGTTGAGACATTTGGGGCCCCAGTCCTCTACCCTGGGAGGAGAAACAACTTGTCCATTCTAATCCTTCCTAAGAATCAGATTTCCTTTCTTACCCTTTCTCCACCCTCTCACTTAGACGATAAAAGGCAGCACCTCAGGAAACACCAGCCTCTTTCCAGCCTTCTCTTCCAAAGCAATGCTGCAGTTGGCTACACATGTACTTTTACCATAACTGCCAGAGCCTTGCTAAAGTGGAGCCAAAGTGAACACACCCTCCCTCTTTATTGTCATCCCTCTAATCATTTAATTGGAAATAAAATCCCAGGGAAAACAGCTCCAAATATATGCATAAATCCATTGTTCCATGTGAATTAGATAAAACTACATTTTTATAGTACTATTTGGGGCTGAATAAATGCCTCAGCCGTTCATTTAGTATCAGTGAATTTCAGTCAGTAATAATGCAGAGGGATTTCGAAGTAGTTTATGCACCATTTTAGCCTATAAATTTCTGGAGAAATAAAACTAATTTGTATATTTTCTTTACCTCCTATTAATGATGGTCATTTAGACCATTTACGTTACAAGCAAATATGTACCACTTAAAATACTGGAAAACCCTCAAAGCAGGAATTTCAAGTTTAATCTTACCCATATATTTTTTTTGTTATGTCAGTCATTTAATATATAAAACAAAGAGTTGGTTGGATTCATAAAATGTTAGAAATTCTTTCATTTTGGGATTTTCCCCCCAAAACCAATAGGGGAATCTAATTAGGGGGCAGAAAAATGAAACTGAGAGGAAATATCTGGTGGCCAGATTCTCAGTACATCTCTCTCCTTTGTGATATATAGAATCTCAGCTGTTTTCTTCATGAGATTTGGAAGATCAAGCTCCCCTATCCCCAACTTAAGTACCAGAAACACTCTTTCATACAAACTAGAATCTACATTCCAGTATCTCAAAGGAGACATAGTCTAAGATGTGCCCTTTATATTTAAGAAAGGAAAGGCCAAGGAAAAGAAAAATGTCTTCCATTTAGAGTCATTCCTTTCTATTTACAACATGTAAGGGGATTTTTTTCAAGTGGCTTGCATGGACAGATGACTTTTCCTGGGAAAGGCAAACTTCCTCTTCTATAAATAACAGCAAAAAGAAGGATCTAATGAGTGTCCTGTTCAACTGTTTAATGGAATTAGGTTTCGGACACTGTCCCCCAACCACACACACCTTCCTTCTCTTCATCAGGCTGTAGTTTCTAAGCGACCACAACTCTCTTATGGCTACTTCTCCATCTTAACTTGCTCTTGTGTACACCTGCCTTCTTTCTTTTTCCTTTCTTCTACTTTTTTCTTCTTCTTTTCTCTGTATTCACTTAAGTGTCTGCCCACTATTTTTCAACATTGCCAGGTATTTTTTAGAGGCAATTCTTTTGACATTTCTAATTCCTCCACCCTTTCTTTAAACAAGTGATAGGGATGGGGGGGGATGCTTGAGAGAGAGAGAGAGAGAGAGAGAGAGAGAGAGAGAGAGAGAGAGAGAGAAACAGAGACAGAGACAGAAATGAACGGAGCATCCAGTCATAAGACAATTGCAGACAGCTAGCTAAATACCGCTGCAGATTCTCATACACAGACATGTGAGAGCCCTCAGTATTGAGCCTTGGTCATTACATGAGTTGCCCTTAGCCAAACTATTTCAAAGTATGCACATATGCATAAGAGAAATGATATGGTAAGATAAAAGACAACTGATGTTTAAGAAGCTTTCTTTGAGAAGTCAATAGCTAACCTGGAAATTAAGGGGAAATTCCCTCCCTCCTAAAATATGGGACTTTCTCAACCCTACTTTCCCTGAGTCCCACTTGAATCCTAGGTGAGGGGGTCTGTCTGATCAGAAGGACTGGGAAAATTATGTGGGGGACTGACCAGGTGAAAAGAGAATGAACAGAGAGAGACCAAGGAGAAAAGTACTCATTTAGTGGGAAATTCCTTGCAATCTTTTTTTTTCCCCTCAGCAAAATCCTTTCCTGGCCTCCTTGGACCGCAGGCACCGGCAAGGGAAGGCGCTCAGGGCCTGGTTGCCGCCTCCCTGGGTTCTGGAGTGAAGTCTCAGAGCTGCGAGAGAATCAAATTCACACGGTGCGCACTCTTTCCTTTAAGCTGCCCTTTGCCAGCTCCCAGTCCACTTACCTTATTTCAACACTGGATTAAAACCAAGGCTGTCTCCTTTCCTCAAGTCGTGGTTCTGCTTCCTCTACTTTAGCCTACTTCACATCCGATTTATCCTAAAGCTAACAGATTGCGTTTTTCAAGGTTGCGGGTGGGGCTGAGGGAGTGGGACCCGTCTACACCACTCAAAGGCCTTTCTTCCCTTAGGAGTAGAGAGTTGAACGTCGAAATGAACCCCGAGATTCCCCCAGCGAAGATGTGTTGCGGCCCCTGTAGAAGGAGTCAACTTTCAAGCTGTTAAAGACCTCAAGTCATTAGCATCAGCTGCTGCACTAACGGGGCCAGCCAGCGCCTCTAAGTGGCTTAGCGCACAAACGAGGCTCCCCAGACGGCCGCGGCAACTCCATCCATTTTTCCACCACCCGCTGCACGTGAAAAGCTCTTCAGAGTACATCTCGGTAATCATTTTTACTTTGACTCATCCTCTCCCCTCCACACACACCTGGAGTTCTTAAAATACGGCCGCCCCCAATTTGGGACCCCCTCGGGGATTGCGCAGAGCGTACCGGGCAGAGGACCCAACAGCAGGAACTGCTTGAGTACCGAAACATGGGCTCTTCCCACCCATCTGCCTCTCACTCCCTCCCCCGCCCAGGTAGTACTTGTGTCTTGGGATCAGATGCCCCCTGTAAACCCCCTCCCGAGGTCTGATAGAGTCCCCACTCCATTCCCCTTACCCCATCTCCCGCTCTGAGGAAAGACTGAGCCAAGTTCTCACCAAAGCGCATCCTTTCTGAATCTTGCTCGGAAGGGCTTGGTAAAGTAAACGCTCCTGGAGAGAGCTGGCGCTGGTTTATCAGCCCCAGGCAACTAGCTGCGCGAAGCTGCGACGGCTCAATGGCTGGGGGAGAATCCCTCGGGCGAATCCCCAACCTCCTCCCCTGCACCCAACTCAGACTCGGGAAATGCGCGCGGATTCCGTGCGCGCATTGAGTGGCCACCTTCCTGCCAGAGGTTCTCCAAGTGCCAAGCGAAAAGGGAAAAAGACCCTTTCCAGTTCTTTTGGTACTTGCCTTTCCGACCCCGAAACGGATTTTCCCCTCCCACCAGTCCCAGAGCGCTGATGCTTTAGGAAGAGGCGGGCCGGGCCACTCAGAAAGGCGTTGTCTCTTGGGGAAGGCGCTCAGGACCTGGCGGGCACCGGCAAGCCAGAGAGACCGCTTCCAGGCAGGCAGAGCCGGAGGGAGCGCCCAGCCCAGCAAAGAGTTAAAGGGAGGGGACGTGGGCTGTCACGCGTCATTGGGCAGATTATGTGCAGCAAACAAAAAGTGTGTGTCTGCGTGCCAGTCAGTCACTGCATCGGGTCCATCTGTACAACTCTCTCTCTCTCTCTCTCTCTCTCTCTCTCTCTCTCTCTCTCCTTACTCTCCCCTCATTTCTCTATCCCCATCACTCTATCTCTCTTTCCTCTCTTTAGGCAGAGCCTACAAGACAGCAACACCAACACCTCTTGACATGGAAATACATTGATACAATAGGCAAAAGAAACACTCGATTGCATCTCTGGGTTCCTGGTGGCCTTATTTGGGCGATTCCATCCAGACCTCATTCTTGGTAAGTCTATTTGCATTGATGGGGGAGGAGGATGGGAGAAAGGCAGGTCTGGTGGGGAGAGTGAAAAATTTTGTTCTCCGTTTCCTCATTATCCAGGAGAGGGGGGAAATAATTGTTGAGGGGATGTCTACTGCCAATAAGATTATACAAAGGGAGGAGCTGGTGGAGAGCACTTTGCCGGAGAAGCAAGCTACTAGGGAGCGCGCGGCCGCCAGACAATGCCTGCCTCCAGGGGAGGGCGAGTGGCCACGGCAGCGACCGGCTCTCGGCAAGCCCAGCCGGCCCTGGAGAGTTTGCCCGGCGGATGAGAGCCCGGGGCCTAGAGGAGGATGCTAAGCTGTGAAAGGCTGGGTGGCAAAGGCGACCACACGGGCGGGCGGGCGGGTGAGCTCAGGCTCTTGGCCAGCGGTTATTGTGACAGGTTCGATGCTCGTGGCGGCCGCCACAGCGACGCGGACCCCTATTAGCGCGGCGTAGCGAGGATCTTTTCACGGTATTGTTAGGTAGAACTGCATTTTAATGATTGCGTCCCTGCTGTTGCCCGAAGTGACGGGGCGACCGCCCAGCACAATGAAACGCTTGTGTGAAAGAGACTTTTAAAAAGGAGAAATTGGGGCATAAAACCCTGAATTGGGGAAATTGAAAAGAAGAGACTAGGATTCCGTTGAAAAGGAGACGAGAGGTTCTGGAGGATTTTTAAATGTGTTTAAATTTGCAGTGGTAGATCAGAAGGGCTACCATGTGTGGGGTAAAAATGGACAGGGGTAGAGGCTGTATCCTAATAAAGTAAGTTTCTACTTTAGGGATATTTATCTTCTCTCTGTCTGACAGATACAGCCCAATACTTGACATTTGGGGGATATAGCAGGGTGAATGGTGAAAGAGGCTGGCCAAAGTTTCATGGTCTGTTAGCTGGAAAGAAAAAGAAAAGCACTACCTTGTAATCACATTTGCAAGATTAATTGGTTAATAGACATTAAGATAAAAAATGGACATTACTAATATTACTCCGTAATGAACAGCTTCTTGGGGAAAGAAATAGAACTACTCTTTCCTGCTACTTAAAGTATACCAAATACACAAAAAATACTGCCTATGGTGGCATTATTAGGGAAAAACCAATTTAGGGGTATCTTTTAGTCAGTCAGAAAAAGTGAACAATGCAGTTAGCTCAAAGACAGTTTAAATTTAAAATGCCTGTTTTGTGTTTTAAAAATGGTATTAAAAATGGTAAGTCTTGTAGGCAGTGTCCAGTGACAATGGAAGAAAAATGTCTCTTTATGGCAGCTTAATAGAGAGCCCTCCATCGGGGCATTACTTTCTAAATTGCTGCGGATTAAACAGCTGGAGAGCCCACCAAGGTCTACGCAAGAGGGGCTGCCCCCCTTTGCCCATACAGGGTCGTATGTGGGGGAGCGAGAATTCACCAATCATTACACACGCGGTATTTCAGACAGGGGACACTTCTGGCCTGCCCTGTACCTGCTCACTTCACGAGGCACATGCGACTCGATCCACCCCCTTGTATAACAAGGTAACTGGGATTCGCCCTCATCCATAAATAAGCATGTCGAGAAAAAAAATAATTACCTCTGCTTGCTGCTTTTTAATTAAAGCCTCGGAGGGACAGTGTTGGATTATGGTAATGAGCAGACATACGTCCCCTCTTGTAGGCTGCAGAGAAAGGTTAACTGACACGGAATCAGTGGCCCTGACACTCCACTTGAAATCCATTCGCCATGCTCCGCTGTCTCCGCCTGTTCGCTAATGCTGCTCCCCTCTTTGGAAGAAAAAATATAAAACTCAGCTCCCGGGCTCCCGGTTCAATACCTAAGAGGAGAGGAGAGGTGCTTTCTCCCACGGGTTAGAAGTTTCTTTCAGTCTGGGGAGTCTAGTAAAAAATACTATTGTTCTCCCCTACCCTCACCCCCAAATTCTGCCCTATCCTCCCTCAAATTAATACAAGGGAAGAAAACCGATCTCGTCTTTCCTAGCCCTATGCTTTTTTTTCTCACAGTCTACCCTGAGTTCCCACTATCGCAATTATTTTTTTTAAAAGGAAAGTACTCCTTAGTTGGCATCTTCAAGATATGCCAGATTTTATCTGCCCTTGGCTTTTATCTGAAATAAGGGTTATGCAAAAATCAGGCGAATTCCAGAAAAATTTGTGGAGTAGTGAAATTGTTCTGCCTGGATTCATAAAGGCAAAAGGAGTAATGTAACTCGCTTCGTTGTCCTGTGTATGTGTCTCCAGTGATGGAGGATTCGGGCATCCAGCGAGGCATCTGGGACGGGGATGCCAAGGCTGTCCAACAGTGTCTGACAGATATTTTTACCAGCGTTTACACCACCTGCGACATTCCTGAGAACGCTATATTCGGTCCCTGCGTCCTGAGCCATACTTCGCTGTACGACAGCATAGCTTTCATCGCTCTCAAGTCCACGGATAAGAGAACAGTTCCTTACATCTTCCGGGTAAGTCTTGGCCAGTGCTGCCTAGGGTATGCATGCGAGTAATGTCCAGTTGAAAACAGACTAAGAATCATTCCAATGACGAGCTGAGACAGGTTCTGAATGTAGAAAATGCAGTAATGTGAGTCATCCTGTTTTACATACCAAAAATTGAAAAGAAACATTAAACTCAATTTATTGTCAACTGATTTTCTGGAATAAATTACAAAATTTGATTTGGAATACTGTGTCTAAATCAGTGCCTTCAGTCCTGGGCTTTCCTAGTGATGAACACCACTTCCTTTACTCTGGGAAATTTCACAAGGTTTGAGGCTATTTGCATACTAAGTACTTTCTGTAAGTACTTTTATTCTAAGTATTGGGCGAATTTGTCTTACAACCAAGGAGGCCTCTTGTTGCCCTACATATTACTCTTTCTGAAAAAGGTAACTAGTGCCCAGAGTTTGTATTTAAATAAAAACGTTGATGGTTTGACAATAAAACGTCATTAAATCCACATATATGAGTTTGAAGATAAAAATAAAAATAAACTTTTTATTTTTTCTTCACAAAGAAAATCTATTATTTAAGCCAAAATTAGGAAGATGAGTGAATGCCACAGAATAATTTCTGAGATCTAAGCTTACTTTTCACTTCCAAAATAAACAAAATCCCCCACATTTTTGTAATATGGGATGATTTAGAAGTAAATTCTGAAGATGTTAACACTAATTTGAATTGTAAGAAGAAATCCCCACATTTGATCTTCAACCAGTATGTAAAAATGACGACTTAAATAAGCTATATGATTGATGCAGCGTTTCAAAGGACGATTATCTTGCTAGCTGGTTGCAAACATGAGGCTGGGTGCCAACTTGGGTCAAGTTTTTGGAATCTTGGTCTCAGATAATTCTTTGGAAAAGAATGACATAGAGGAAATGGCCCTGGTTCCTCTGGCTCCATTCTCTCACAAGTCTCCTTCCTCCACCCCCTTCTTTTTTGTATTTCCTCCCCCCTAAACTGTAGGTAGACACCTCAGCGGCAAATGGTTCCTCAGAAGGTCTCATGTGGCTGCGTCTGGTCCAATCAGCCAGAGATAAAGAAGAGCAGAACCTTGAAGCCTATATAAAAAACGGACAGCTGTTTTACCGCTCTCTCCGCAGGATTGCCAAAGACGAGGAGTTACTAGTTTGGTACGGGAAAGAACTGACTGAGTTACTCTTGCTCTGCCCCTCTAGACCTCACAGCAAAATGAATGGTAGGTTGGCTCGCGACTTGCCTGTGGGCCCTTAGCTAGTGGGGGAGCGACTCCGGGAACGGCTGGGGCTCAGTCTGGCGCTTAGGCGCGCCTTTCCACCCTTTGGGCGTCTTTTACGAAGCATCTAGTCCGTAGTGAAACTAGGGCAGATAGGTGAGGACACATCGGGGACCTTTGGCTTCATTACTGCATTCCCCCCAAATCAGGAAGGGAAAGTTAGATCAGGTGGTACAGGATCTTCTTTTCTCAGGCACTCAGGCCCTGAGAGATGAAGGTGGATTTGTGAAGGGAGGGAAGGCAAAGTAGCCTGGAGACGATGCTAAGTAATCATGTGCTGTGCGTGTGTGTGCGTGCGTGCGCGCGCGCGCGTGTGTACGTGTGTGTGGTGTTTGCAGGGTCGTCCCCTTACACATGCCTGGAATGCAGCCAACGTTTCCAGTTTGAGTTCCCCTATGTGGCGCATCTGCGCTTCCGCTGCCCCAAGAGACTTCACAGCGCTGATAGGAGCCCCCAAGACCAGCAAGGCGGCGGCGTGGGCACCAAG